ATAAAGAAAGGTATCTAAGTGTCTGAAAAACCAATGACAAACTCCTCCACAGAACATGACTCCTGGGCAGGCAACAACTGGAGATACCTTCACTGTCCCAGAGCAGTGGCAAGGTTGTTAACCTGGCCTGAGAGATGGAGCCCTGTGTAATGGAAAAATGATGCATCCGGCAGATAGCAGGCAGCTATGGTTTCTTCTCTCCTACGCACCCCCCTTTCTGTTTCAAGCTGGTCACATTTCCTTGTGACTTCCATGCTTAGTCAGAAGACTTAAGAGATAATTTTCATCCTACAGAATCTTGTCCAGATAAACTATTCTCGGCTAATTAGTGATATCATCTGTAAGGTCCCTTCCTTCCTGTCGGTCATGAGTATGTACTGAACAACTGCCATGCACTATATGGTGAGCTCAAGTGTTAGAGACAATAGCCTTTGAACTCTGACTGGAGCCCCTGGAGATATGAAGATGTCAGTTCCTCTGTCAGAAAACAATACAAAACCAGTGCATTTCAAGCTGTTTCCTCTCCCCTTTAGAGCACAAGAAAGTTACAACTGGGCCAGGAGGTGGTGCATGCCTTTAATCCCAGCAGAAACAGGTGGATCTCCATGTGTTCAAGGCCAGCCTGGTCTGGGACAAAGTCCAGGACAGACAGGGTCCACAGAGAAACCCTGTCTCAAAAAAGAAGAACAGGAAAAAGAAGGAAGGAAGGAAGGAAGGAAGGAAGGAAGGAAGGAAGGAAGGAAGGGTATAACTGAATAGGAGAAAGGTGAGAGCCTGGCAGATGATCTGAGGAAATCCTACACAAGTTTGATGAAACCCACCCCCACCCTACCAGTTCTCAAGTACAGGATAACCACAGAGACAGCTGTGGCATGGGGCAGGGACTTCAGTGGTAAAGCACTAACATGCTTAAGCATATACATGTGTGTGCGTACACACACACACACACACACACACACACACACACACACACACACTTTTCTGTGTATTAGATCCTGAAATGCTTGTGCCACTTTTAGTTAATACTCTTATTGTCATATTGACACTCAAAAACATAAGAAGCAGGTACAAAGAGGCTAAAGGACACTTGAGACTAGCCATCCATCAAGTACGAGATAGGGCTGGGACTGGAACCTAGTCTCCCTCATGTCCCAAACTGCCTGAAACATACACATTCAAACAAAAACCAAAGAGCTGGTCCCTGAGCCAAAGGGGTAGGATAGATAATAGCTACAGGGACAGGTCTCCTGCCAGGGCATGGCATCCTAAATGAAGACAGAAGGCTTTTGATAAGTAGAGTGTCTGTCCACCTTATGCTTTAAACAAGACCTCAAAAATACCACTCATTCAGCCTCATCTAAATTGTCACATGTTCCCTTGGAGACAGGTGCCCCAGTGCCTAACCCGGTGAAGTTTCATGGTGTCTGTCAGGCACTGAGACAAATCTGCACGGTTCCTTTATGTTTCTACATACTGTACTTCTGCCTGCAAAACCATGTGTTGTAATTAGTGCTTAGTGAAGCCTTGCTACTGGTCCTAGGTGTCTGAAGCCCTAACTTCTGGCATACAGTCCACCTATCAGCGCAGTTCTCCATCCAGCTTTTCATCTGTAAATATTTCTTCATGCTGTAAATAGTTTCGCGTACCCCTCGGTGCCAAGCTCTGAAACCACCAAGTTGAATTTAGTATTTGCCCACGCACCTCAGAATTTGTGAGTGGTGACAGGCATGGAGAGAGAGAGACCTTCTCAAGACATCTTTGGAGTCCAGGGACCGAGAGATGGCCCCAATCTGTCCCTCTACCCCGGGAGTGGAAGCTGCAAATGAGATCGCACCGGGAAATCGATTTGTAAATAACATAAGGCGAGAATGGGGTGTGGAGAGATGGGGAGGGGAGGGGAAGAAGGAGCAGAGGCGGGGAGAGAGCAGACCAAGGGGAAGGACTGCAGCCTTGGACCGCTTTGCCTCCGCAGGCCTGGCCGAGCTGAGAGCTCAGCCGTGGGCTGCAAGCCCAGAGCACGGCCTCCGGCCTGGGAGGACAAAGCCGGAGCTCTAGCCTCACCCTCCCAACAGGCCAAGCTGCTCTGGGCTTCGTCCTGGCAGCGGTCTAGAACTTTCGGAGTCCTGCACCGCCCCGGACAGATTTAAACTCGCAGTCAGAGCTATGACAAAGGCCAGGCCTTTCTTCCATTGTGCAACCGGATTTACCGTTGAATCCCCTTACGTAAGGGCATCCCTGAGCTATGGTGGCCTGGGTAGCGCCATCAGCCGCCATTCTCTGTGCTGAAGCGCCACCTGGAGGACAGTTCCAGTCCAAACCGTTGTGTAGTAGAATTTTGTAAAAATCAGCCTCCACCCAGGGAAACAAGAAACAAGAGCTGCCTTGGGGGAAAAAAAAGGCAAAATATGGCACCTTTGAAAGGACTTTTGTTAAAGTCCTTTGTTCACCTGACGTCCTGCTATTTGATGATGGGATATTCAGGGGTTGAATGACGCGACTTCTCAACGGGACAAAATTTCTCCATGGCTTAGAACCACAGCGAACTTGTCACCTCCTCTCAGGAATTCTAAACTCTAGATCTGAAGAGCATGTGTGCTGAGAACTACAGATTGCCCTGCATCTCAGAGTCCAGCCTCTTCGTCCACCTACTGCAAAATTCAAGCTTGACTAACTTGGGGAGAAGGCCTGGGGTGCTTTGTGGGAAGAGAACTTGGGGTGGGGGTGGGGGCTTCGTGGTTATCTCAGTCAGCTGCCTCGCACTGGGCATGAACACACACCCTGGAATATTTGTTGACACTTAGCTGGATGGGCCTACAAAGGCACCAAGGATTAAGGTGTTTAAGATGAACTCCAAGTTATTTTATCCTGAAGAATTTCTCAACTAGATGGACCCAGGGAACATGGAGTATCCAATATAAAGAAAAGCAGACCAGGCTCCCAAACTGAGAAAGAGGGTTTTGTTTTTTAAATAAAGCAAACAGCTGTGGTGGGGGGGAGTAGGGGAAGGAAGCTTTCTTCTTCAGATTTTTCTACTTACTCCTTTGCCAAGTTAGCAGTTTGGCTTCCTGAAAGGTCAGGAGACCCTGAGTATCTCCAGCAAATCCCTATCAGAAAAGGAAAATGCTGGCAGTATCAGAACTCTCCCGTCCAGTCATAGTACAGAGTCATGATAACAAAAACAGCATGGTACTGATTAAAAAAACAGGCCTGTTGATCAATGGGATAGAATAAAGGACCAAAAAATAAGGCCACAAAGCTGTAGTAGCTAACTTTTGACAGAGGTGTCAAAAACATACAGCAGAGGAAAGAGAGCCTGTCTCAACCAGTGCTGAGAATATGGTTTCCACAAGCGAGGAATGACTAACCCCACCTCTCGTCCTGCACAACAGTCAACCCAAAGGTCTGGCCTGAAACTTTGAAGGTGCAGGGGAAATCACTCCAAGATGCAGGCCTAGGCAAGAACTTCTTGAACAGAGTTCCCACTGTACAGCAAATAGTGCCAATGATTGACAAGTGGAATTATAGGACATGAAGAAGCTTCTGTTTGGCCAAGGAGACAAGCACTAGAGCCCTGAAAACGGTAATAAAATCTTCACCAGCTACAGACCTTCATATGTACTGAACAGCACAAATTAAACACCAGAAAAAAATCATCCAGCCAAAACCAAGCTAATGAACTGAAGAGACGGTTCTCAAAGAAGGCAATGCAAATAGCCCATATATACTCAAATATGTGTTCAGCACCCTTACCATGGGGGAAATGCAAGCCAGAATGGCTATCACTATAAAAAACAAATGACAATCCTGGCAAAAATGTGGAGAAAGAGGAATCCATGTACACATCTAGGAACCCTGCCACTAAGGATGTTAGTATGGAGGCTCCTACAGAAACTGAAACTAGGGTGGAAGAGATGGCTCAGCAGTTAAGGACACTCACTGTTCTTGCAGAAGACATGGGTTCAGTTCCCAGGACCTATGTGGTAGCTCACAAACATCTGTAACTCCAATTTCAGGAGATCCATCACCCTCTTCTGACCTCCATAGATGCCTGGTATGGATGTGGTACATACATACAGGCAGGTAACACCTGCACATATTAAAATAAATTTTAATTTAAAAAAACTGAAACTAGAACTATACTTGACTCAACTATACCACTGAGTATACCCCAGAAGGACTCTAAGTCAACAACACATTACAGAGATAACTTGCCCATCCATGCTATACTATTCACAATATCCAAGAAATAGAACTAAACTAGATGTCCATCAATAGATTAATAGACAAAGAAAATGTAGTCATAGACAGTCTTACACCCAGAGAGAGAGAAAGAGAGAGAGAGAGAGAGAGAGAGAGAGAGAGAGAGAGAGAGAGAGAGAGAGAGAATTTGCCCATTGGGGTAACAAAAGCATGACCAATGTGGGGTAACTGACCACTTATAGATTGAATTTGAACCTGTTCTACAAGAGGGAATTTAAACCTAGTCAAAAGCCCATAGCTGAGGAGGCCACAGAGCACTAGGAGGAAAGCTATTTAAATGTACATGTTATGACCTTGGATTTCTTTCTAACAATTTATACTTTCTTATTATTGCATCTAATTATTATTATTGTTTTCTTAATAGTAAACTTTATTTTCACTGGTATTTCATTGTAACATAATTTCATAGCAGACCTATGCAAAAGATCTCACATCGAAAATGTCACCAAGAGATTTCACATACTTCTGAGCAGAACATGTGGCTCTGAGGCCCCCAACATTTTACCCCTTGTCTCCTAGTACAGAAAGGAGAGATATCATCACACAAGAATAAAACTGCATGAAGGCAGCATCTGCTCTCAGGTTAGACACTTGCCATCCCTGAATAGTAAAAGCTCATTGTCATCTCATCGTGCTCAGTGTACATTTGTAAAATGTGCTGCACTTTTTTCTTCAGACATTGTAAATGTGGAAGTTTGGAGAGTTTCCATTCTTCATGAGCCCAAGCAGGGGATTGGCTACTACAGATGGGGAGAACTCAACACGCTAATTCCAAGCTTGGCAACCATCAGCAAACTGGCACCTGCAATTAAACCTGCTGGCATAAATTTTCCAGAGTTGTAGAATCTCATCCCCATGATGCCAGCCAGGGTCCTGGATGTAGCTAGGAAAACCCACACATTCCTGGGATCCTGGGATATCTGGTAAGCACCAAGGCCTGATAGGCTCCCAAAGAAGAGTCCAGCAACCAGGGATGGCACACTATCTGCTTTTGCATAGCCAATAATCCCAGCAGTAGCAACCAGGGCTGCATAGCCAAAGCCAAGATAATGTAAAGGCACCAGTGGGCCACTGCCCTTCTGCATTGTTAAGTCACTTGGGAGACCACACCAGGCCTGCACCCAAAACCAGAGTCAGAGCCTGCAGGCCTGAACTGGAGGATGAGGGTGAGAACACAGCGAGGAAGCCGGGTCAGGAGTCCAATTATTATTATTATTATTAACATTATTTCATTTAATTATTTGTGTGTGGGGTGCACACATGCTATAACATGTGCATTAGAGTCAGAGAACAACTTGTGGGAATAAGTTCTCTCTTATCATGTGGGACCTGGAGATTGAACTCAAGTCATCAAGCTTGTCAGCAAGCACCTTTACCTGCTAAGCCATCCTATTAGCCCAATATTTATGTTTACATTCATATAGTGTTAGTGTCAACCTTGGCCAGAGAAGCCTCATTTTGTTGTGGACAATGGTTACTGCAGAGATGCTTAACCAGTGAAAGTGCTGAGGAAACTGACTGCTGAGTACTTGGTTCTAAATGAGACCCAGGGAACATCACCAAAGAGGAAGCAGAAAGAACGTAAGAGCTAGAGATGGGTAGGATGTTATGGACAGCTTCCTTCCAGCTATGACCTAGCTGCTGTACTCACTCATGCTGTACTCATTCACAGCTGTTGGTAACTGGTGTTACCCACTTAGTGCCAGCACAGCAGTGGGCACTGTCCACATTCTGTCACAGGTTAGGGATGGGCTCCTGAGGCCCCACCCCTCCCTAAGGAGCTATTGGTAGTTAATGCTTGCTGGAGGAAAGAGAGGCCTTTTCTTCAGTGGTGGCTGTTACTAGGAAGTTGCCCATGCCCCAGTAAGCACTCCCACCCATGCTTACAAAAGCAACCTCAGTTAAACTCAATGGGCCACCCACTTCCACACAAAAAATCATGGTAGTAAAGGTGGTTTAGTTGGGAAGGGGTCCAGCAGGAGGAGAAAAGAAGGTAATGGGGAGTAATGGAATAATCAAAATCATTAATATTCAGTAATATTTATTATTCATATGTGCAAATTGTCAAATTTTACGTGTTAAAAATATATAATATGCAAAGTGGAATCTTATGAAGGTACAAAGAAATATGAAATCATAAATGACATTTACAAGAAAGTGGATGTAAGTAGACAAACTAGCAAAATAAGCCAGTTTCAGAAATATATACCTAGTGTTTTCTCCCACATATGCAACCTCATCTTAAGCTACGTATGTATATGCATGTCTCTGTATGTGTAGGTTACAAACCAGAAAGAGGACCATGAGAGGGGAGGAAGAGATCCTAAGGGAACTGGGAACTAGAGAGGGTAGTTGGATACATAGAGTAGAAAATCGGAAGGGGGACTGAGGGGAGCAGAAAGGGACTGGGGTGGGGGAGAACAATTGAAGACAAAATATAGTGTCTGAAGATGCCACGATGAAACCCAATACTTTGTACATTGACCTAAATTTTTTAATTAAAAAGAAACTTGGCTTTCTGCTCCTTAGCTTGTTGGATTCTCAAGCACAACTAGAGGACAATACATGAAATAGGCAAGCTCTGGTTGTCAGAGCATCAGTGTGCGGTATCCTGGATATCCACAAAGGTGACCACATCTTCACATGTAGCAGCTGCTATCCTTCTTCAGACCAACAATTCCAACAGGCACTCCCTTGAAGGCCTTGGGAAAATGAGTGTCATGTTTGAACTTATTCAAAGATACAGATTGAGCTAGACAGGTTTTTTAAAAGAGCCCTGCGGTTTTTTCTGCTTAGACTGAGTCAGGAAACCTCTCTTAAAGGAACTGAGTATCTGCTTGTCTCTAGCAAATTAGAGACCACCAAAGAAAATGCTGTTAACAAGAAGTCGTGCTTGTCTCTATTCTTTTGCTGCTAAAAATCCCTTTTTAAGCTTTTGTGAAGATCACATGGAAGTTCATCTAGGTTTTGTCACTGCTTGACTAGTTTCAGGAAGGCGGCTCGTGGTGCCTGGTGGCTAGAGGCAGCAGGTTCCCTGTTTCCTTTGGGAACCTCAGGGTGTGGGATCATCCTACTTCTGACACCATTCTGTAACAATAAGTCTTTCCACCAGGCCGCCCAAGTTCTGCCCGCAGCCACGTTAAGGTCCCAAATAACACACAGAGACTTATATTAGGTACAAATGCTGCTTGGCCAATGACTAGGATTTCTCATCTGCTAGCTAAGTCTTAATTATCATAAATCTATATATTTTATAACACTTATCTTGTCGGACGCCAGCGACAAGCGTCCTGTCTTCCCTGGCTCACATGGAGACTCTACCCTTTCTCCTACCTTTCCCAGAATCCTCCTTGACTCCTAGTCCCACCTATCTTGTTTTCCTATTGGCCAACAGTACTTTATTTATCAACCAATAAGACAATCATACACAGAAGGACCGCCCCCATCAGATGTTCCCCCAGAAAAAAAAATGCAGCCCACATGAAGAAAGGAACATTTTCTTTTATCTAAGCTTCTAAATAAATTAGACTTATAAAAACTGAACTGGGTATGATGGCTTATGACTATAAGCCCAGCTGAGGCAGGAAAATTGTTAGTTCAAGGCCAGTCTGGGCTACATAATGAGTCTGAAGCCATCCTGACTGCCTAGTGAGATCCTGGCTCAAAAATAAATAAGATGCTAACGTTCACTTCCCTATAGTAGAAATTATTTCGCATGGTGCTGGCAGTGACCTTGTAGAAAGAGGATCATCATTACTGTCCTGCAGAGAAGAAAACAGAAGTTAAAAGAAATCTAGTCATTTGTAGCCATAATGTGAACTCAAGCATTCTGGCTCCAGAACATTTGTGATTTTCCAATATGCCACCTCCCATCCCAGTGTGAAGCCAGAATGCTAAGTACTGAGGATAATATTCTGAGAAGCAATTCAGTTTGCCAAAGAGCGCTGTGAGAGTTCATATGCAATGATGGAGACTGCATTACATGGGGGAATGTCTGGGCCAAAGAGGATCCCCAGTCAGGAATGAGGCCCATTGATGGTCTCACCACACACTACACTTTGTAGAGGGCTCAAAATGTCTCAATCCTTTGTTTCCCTCATTCCCGAATAAAGCAGCTGAACACTCTGTCCTCTTTAAAAAAAATTCCGTGCATGCATTTGTAATTACTGTTCTTTAATAGAGTCTTCCCTGGGAGTTAAGAACTACTGGAAAACAACGGGGGGAGGGGGGGGAGACAGGGACAAAAATCCATTGGAGGCAGTCTGTGGAACAGCTCCCAGTGCTTGTGAAAGTCTATAGGACTCCAGAGCTGAAAGGGCTTCCAAGGGCATCTTAGGATGCACTCTCGACTCCTCAGCATCAAGGGTGCCATCCAAACTCCACCATCAATGGCTTACCAAGATCACACTATGTGAGTGTGTGCAGAACCAGTCAGAATCTCAGTCCCACGACTCTTGGGTCAATGAACTTTTCATTTTTTCAAAGTTTCTTGTCTCCAAGCCAAATTCACCTAGGAATCCAAATCTCCAGAGCTAGCCCTAAAAAACAACCTTCTCCCATTCTCCCCAAAGCCATTTCAGACGGGAGGAGAAAGGTGGGTATGCCCCATTTTGAAAGCCTGTAATATATGGATTGCTATGCTGAGTGCCATGTTTCATTTGTTACCTGCATCAGCTTATTTACACTCTGCAAATCAGAAGGGTAGGGGGGCCACAAAACTAAGGGACTGGCTTAAGCTTCTGTGACTGGCAATAGGTGGTAGTAGGACTGGAGCCTGCTGCTTACTTTTGAAAGTCATGCGGTAAATGCAGGGCCCAGATGACCAGGAGAGACCTCTGTATGCCAGCCAGCTGTCTCCTCAGGAATGGGCAGCATCTGCCTAACCATGGAACTCCCACCTTGGCGGCACACTGGGGGCTTTAGAATCAAATTTTTTGTACTGAGGTCCAGGGGAAGGGCAAAGGGAGCATACAGAAGGACACGTTGGGGCTTGTAAAGAAAGAAAACAAGTTGTGGGGGGGGGGGTTTGGTTGGTTGATTGGTTGGTTTTTTTTTCAAGACAGGGTTTCTTTGTGTAGCCCTGGCTGTCCTAGAACTAGCTCTGAAGACCCGGCTAGCCTCAGACTCACATAGAGCCACCTGCCTCTGCCTTCCAAGTGCTGAGATTAAAGGCATGAGTCACCATCACCTGGCAAGCCTTTGTTCTTAACTAGAGCTCTGGCAAAACCATACCTTGCCTTCAGGAGCTCCAAAAATCTATGCTGATCTTAAATTCTTCCACCACTCTTAGTCATTTCACTAGCAAATCTTGCATTATGTACAACTCAGACACAAGAGAGGACTTTAAAGAAAGTGACAAACCAGTCATAATTCTTTCCTGGACCAGGGAAAGCAATGAACAGAGGCAGCCAAGAGGCCTCCCTAAATTAAGGCTGCCCAAGGATAGAAACCTGGAAATATTCACAGCTGCAGGCATGGGGGCCCTTTGCAAACTTCTGACCTCCCCCAGTACTGACGTCTCTTGTGCTCCGGGTAACGGGTAACTCAGAAAACAGCACACACTTCAAAGATGAGACAGGTGACTAAGGGCTAGGAGAGTGTGAGGGAAGGCTGGTGATGATGGCAGAGGCCCACGAGGCAGCATGCCTGCCAACATGATTCATGGCTTTCCCCACAGACCTGCAATTTATTATGATTTTGTGTTTCTCTGAAAGTCAAAAGTTCTCAACATCACATGCTTGAATTTTCTCCTTGAAAGTCCCATTTTTAGTAAGAGCAGCTTGTATAGACCCTGAGTCACCCCCTCCCCCAAGTGACACTGCAAAGAACAAGACCACCTGGGTGGCAGCAATTCCTGCTGGAAGAGAAATGTATTTCTTCTCTGACCTGCTGTTTCTGGCATGGGATACATACTCCTAGGCTTGTCTCTGGAGCTTGTTCCAAAGGATAAATAATTCGGGGTACTGTCTCCACTGCCAACACCAGTCACGTGACCATTGTTTTCAAGACCGAGAGATCCCTGGCTTTGATGGAGCATTTAGAAAAGAAACAAATTTAAACTACTCAGGTCTTGGAGCTGGAGTGATGGTTCTGTGGGTCAGAGCATGTACTGCTCTTGCAGAGGACCTG